GATGGATGGATGGATGGATGGAGAACACCACAGTAATCCTTCAGAAGGAGATCCTTTCTACCCACTGTTTAGTTTAATCTCTATATTTTGCCTTTGATGTCCATTTTCAGAAAGTTTAACAACTCTTCATTGTTTTGTTGATGATATCCAGGTTTATATGTCTACTGTGTTGGAGTCACTCCACTGGAACCACTCTTCAGTTGTCTAAATTACATAAAAAGCTGGTTGAAACAAAACCTTTCAAACCTGTCAGGAACTGTCAGGAATCTGGGTTTTCTCTTGGATGATGGCTTTAAATTAAATAAACAGAATAATTCAGTTGTAAAATCAAACTTTTTCCTATTAAGACTGATTTCCAGTTAAATCTCCCCATTAAAGACCTTAAAAAAGTGATTCATGCTTTTATTGCCTCTCATTTGGATTATTGTATATCTTTGTATGCTGGCTTGGCTAAATCATCTCTGCATTGCTTACAMACTGTCCAGAATGCAGCAGCTCATCTTTTAACAGGTACTAAAAAACATGAACACATAACCCCGATCCTGGCTTCTCTCCAGTGAATTCCTGTTCACCTGCAAATTGATTTTAAGATTTTATTGTTGGCTTTAAAAGTTTTTAATGGTCATTATTTATGTGATCTTCTTAACATCTACAGTCCAATTAGATACATAGTTTGAGGTTCAATTAGAGCTGATGTACAGTATTTTTCTTACAGAGTGTTTCTGTATTTTATTTGTATATTTATTTGATTTGTTTTAAGGATACAAGTCTTTGAACTGTAACGCACTTTGGTCAGCTTTTGTTGTTTTTAATGTGCTATAGAAATAAATTTACGTTGATGTTAAAGTAAAGTGTGTTCTTCCTATAGTCACAGTCAGACAGTGGAAAGAAAGTAGACCCAACAGAGCAAAGACATGACTGTCTAAAACCAATTCCTGTCCATTTTTGTCAGTGTTTGTCAAATTTAAAAAAATTAATACCTAAATAAATTTAAAATCATCTGACAGGTCATCATATTAACATAAAATTTTGCATTAAGTTTAGTTTTAAAAACAGGAGCATTGAATTATTTGTAAGATGTCAAACTTTAAAACTAAAATGAACTCTGTGTGTTCTGTTCTGTTTGTGACATTTGGGTTGAAGCTGTATGGTCACTGATGTAAGAGAAAACAACAAATGATCTTTTTGTAGGTCACTACACTGAAAATGTCAGGGTGTAAAATATCATCAGAGCAGCATAATAAGAGGCCAGACTAGTGTGTGTGTGTGCTGAACTGTGGTCTGAGTGGATTTAATGATACTTGCTGACACATCACAGACCTGGACCACAGACCTCAGGAGAGGTACCAAAGAACGGAAAACAGGTCAAAGTGCTCATTTCATACA